GTTAATTTTACTCCTAGATGTGTATGTTGTAAGACCTCCACAATTTTGTTATTATCAAAAAATAAATCTGGATGGTGGGGTTTAAACCGTTTTACTGAAAAAATAATACTTTCAGTTTTTTTAACGTTAAAAGTAACAAGCCAGCGTTTTGCCCAATCACTAATCTTACTAAGATCGTTATTCAATTTAACTGAAGTAATATCAGGAGACTCGACTATATCGAATAGTGACGTATCATCGGCATATAATAAGGGATTTGTTTCAAGATTTTCAGTTATATCGTTAATATAAACTAAAAATAATAGTGGACCGAGCACAGACCCCTGGGGTACTCCGGCATTGATATTCTTCCATTGCGAAAACTGACCATCTATGACTACGCGCTGCTTTCTATCCAATAAGTAACTCTCAAACCAACTAAGCAAAGGATCTCTTACACCGATTAACTTAAGCTTGTATAACAGTCCTTTATGCCAGACTCTATCAAAGGCTTTGCTGATGTCGAGAAACACCACTCTTACTTCCTTGCCTAGTTCGAAAGCCTCGTATATCTTATGCGTTAAATATAAAATTTGATTAACTGTAGAATCACCTGGGCGATAACCTGACTGCATAGGATTTAAAAAACCTATGTCAAGTAAAAAATTATAAAATCTCATGAAAACAACTTTCTCAATTACTTTTGATAACGACGCTAATAAAGATATGGGTCTGTAATTTATTTTCAATTGACGATCGACTGTAGTTTTGGATAAAGGAATAACATTAGCCATCTTCCATTGTTCTGGAAAAACGCCAGAGGACAATGATAAGTTAACCAACCGTGTGAAAACATTCGTTATGCCATCTGCACTAACCTTAATTATTTTATTACTGATTCCGTCGGGACCACAAGCTTTTGTTGTGTCCAAACGTCGAAGTAAGCGATTTATTTCACTTTCGGTGGTGGTAATAATGGACAAGAAAGTAGCTGACTGAAATGGAACTATTTCGTGAGGAAGGATTGCAGCACTATCGTCGATCATGCTCTGACTACTAAAATAGTCGTTCAATAATTCTGCTTTAGCTCTAGCATCGCTTATTACATTTTGACCCTCAATAAGCGTTGGTACAGCAACACGCATTTTTTGACCATAAAGTGACTTGACAATTCCCCACCACTTTTTAGGACTTATTTTGGGATCACCAAGGTCCTGATTTAGACTGGCATAATATTTAACTTTGTTTGATCGAATTAAACTGGTTGTTCGATTTCTTTGTATCCTATATCTTTCCCAAGATGCTGGCGTTTTATGTCTTGAGTACCTTTTTAATAATCGGTTACGTTTTCTGATAGCTCTCCTAACGTTGCCATCCATCCACGGTTTATCATGCGGACGAATAACAACTGTTTTTCGGGGAATATATTCCTCAACAACATGTTGGAAACTTGAAAACCAATTATTAAATATAATATTCACATTTTCACCACCAGTAAAACATCTTTCCCATTCATAATTTAACAAAGCATAGTTCAATTCTGCTTCGTCAATATTTTGATAATTCCAAACTGTGCGCTTAAAACATTTAAGTTTTGATAAAAGAATACTTAATTTAGCGTATACTATACAATGATCACAATTTGCCGGCGGACTTAGGGTACCTGAACTTACAAAATAACCAGGAGAATTAGTAATAATTAAATCTAAACGTGTTGAACCAGTTGATGTTATGCGTGTTGGTTCATTTATAGCTTGAAATAAACTATTGCATTCCATCCAGCAATATAAGGAAGAGCCAAAATCACTTGAATCTGAAGAATTGCTGAAATCATAATGAGCATTAAAATCCCCTAGCAAAACTATTAATTTATTCGGCTCTAATTGAATTTTATCTAAACAAATTTGCAAGTTACTTAGAAACGCTGTATTAACATCTACATCATTGCACGGAGGTCTATAACAAGTTGCACATACTAGCGAAATAGACTTAATTTTGATTTCAACCCACAGAATTTCAAACCCAAGGGACTCTAAATCAGTCCTCCTTTTTGGAACAAATTCGGAAGACACGTGCAAGGCAACACCACCGCCTCGCCTGCCATCAGATCTATCCAGACGTATTAAGGGACAATAGCCAGGAATATTAAACAGATCATTGACACAATTCGTGATCGGCTTATTGATCGGCCAAGTTTGCCACTGTCGCAATCGTTTCTTTTGCTTGCTTTAAATATAAAATTCTTCGACGATATATAAGATATTTTCTCTATTGCCCCGTGTTTTAGTTTCAAAGCACACTTAATACACAAACGACAGTGGCATTTACGTTTTCCGCGCTTGCTTTTCTCCCTCTTGTCGTTATTCAAAGGTCCTGATTGAAACTTTCAATGGCGTTTTTTTCGACATATTTTATATCTGCAATTTTGCGACCAAACAATAACATAGTTTGAGTGTTTGACAGTTTGATTATTAGTTTGATTATTAATATATTATTTAGTGTTTGCTGATTGGCTAATTGGACCCGGACAAAAAAGTGGGCGGTTATCAAATTACACTACCAAACCCAGCAGGCGGTTTTTAGACCGCCAGCCATGCAGGCTATAGATATACTGCCTTATTAGTATTCTTTATATACTGACCACACCATGACCTTGAAAACCATCTTGCTGAAAGGGTGCCTTTGTAGGTTTTTCTATTTTTAAAAAGAAGGAACGTCAATGAGGTTTGCGTGTATGGTACGCTCCAGTGATTCAGCAAACGATCTTTAGAAGTTATTTACTGGTAATGGTTTCAACACAGAACGTTTTAAAGTTAAATTAAGAATTTTACAAAGACATACTTTGAACACTTTCGTGAGAAAATCTCGAACTATAAGAAATACATTTCGTGCATTTTGAAACTGCTGAGGCATCTGTAACAACAAATTCATAATGTTCCTGACCTCCTAGGCAGTTTCCAAACGTCAAAATTTCGTCATATTTCGGAACAATTTGCGAAAATTGTGGTATTAAAACTTATTATTATTTTTCACTGTTAAAACTTTATTTACACACGTTCATTTCACAAAATGCGCTTTTCCCTGGAGCCGTGTTCATTAAAAATATCTACATAATACTATTACAATTACAAATTACAATTACAACTAAGAATCACAATACTAAAGAAAAGTAGAAGAAAATTAGGATTATCTAGTAATATTTTTGAAATTAACTACAGATGTAGCATTTACAGCTTCGACAGGTAGGCTATTCAGCGACAGGACGGTCCTTCATAAGTCATAACCATCAACTCTAAACTTATTATCACCAACTTCTTGCCAAAAATATGGCAACAAATAAAAAGATTCAGAGTTTCCAAAAGACGAGATTTATATCAGTAAATTAAGCCCCACTTTCTATATGCGTTAGCGTTCACGTGCGGTTGCGTGTATGGTACGCTCTAGTAATTCTGCACATGACCTGTAAAAGTTGTTTATGATGACTGCATGGTAATATTTGCAACACGGAATGTTTTTAAATAAAGTTTAAGAATTTTACAAAGCAAAGACATATTTTGAATACTTTCCGTGAGGAAATCTTGAACTATATATAAGAAAATTTTTCGCGTATTTTGAAACCGCATATTAGCTAGAGAGTTTAAGCTTCGCGTTATACGTCAAACGGAAAACGCCAGACAAAGAAAAATTTTACGATATCAGGCAATAAAGAGTAAATTAGCTTGCTGTTTTAAAACGGAAATACATAATTATTCTTTCGACACAAGAAAGAAAATATGAAACGAAAACGTTCAACAAAAAGTTTGCCAAGAAAATTCAAACCTGCCGTTTGCCGTTCCCGGAAACGTGAAGCTTAATTAATAAATTAAACTCCCTAGCTATTGCTGAGCAACGCTGAATGTGCATGCATTTTTTAAAAGTCATATAAAGAAGCCCCTTAAATCCCAACACCATAATCTTCTTATACCGCAGACAAGATTAGACGATCGAGTTTAAATATTTAGGTGTGTACTATGTATATAATAATAATTTTTAAGTACATATACTATGGTATATGCTATGTATGATTGTATATAATATGAATGTAACTTTCCTTCAACAGACGATGCTGCCCTCAGGAGATCTTCTGAAATTACATGTTCAAAGCGAGGCTGAGAAATTTCTTAAACCTTGGTGGGATGTAGTTACCGATTATCTAACCCTTGTTTTGGTTATGGTCACTGTCGTTTGTGCCGTGGTTGGTCTCTACGCACCTGGTCCTGTGTGCATACCTGTCGTACGCTGCCCGGCACAAAACTCTTCACTAAGCAAGATAGCAACTTGTGCTATAATTCGCAACCCATCGCAAAACGGAGGAAATTCGGTAGATTTTGCTACAGTTGCAGTCCAGTTTACCAATCAAAATATGTTTCATTATATCAACTCGGAATGCAGTGAGAATATTTTTTGGATGATTAGATTTTTTCCAAACGTGTTGATAGTCATGGTTGGTTGTTGTTTGATCTGTAGTGTTGCTTGGTTTGTCATAAAATCACCAATACTGGAACTATTTATTGATTTGCTATGTCAATGTTACCAACTCGCTTCAACAATGAACAACTCAACTTCTACAGAGCCCGATATTTCAGAAGGTGCTAGTACTTCACAAGAATTACGCACTACTTTAAAAACAAAAACTACTCCAGAACAACATGCAAAACCAGTAGAATGTGCTACCGCAGAAGACAGAAATCGAGTAAAAACAAAGTTGCAGAAATTTGTGCAGGACTTTGAGAAAAATGATACTACTAAGTGTCAAACTTTCTTCAGCATAAAGCATTTTTATATCATAATATCTGTCGTTCAAGCAATGGTCGTTGTCGTGTCATTCAGCATATTGGTATGGTTAATGGACGAAAAGATGAACAGACAATATGAATGCAACATTGATGAAATCATTTCTGGTTTGGTCTACGATCACTTCGTCTGCTCATATTCAATCATCAAGTTTTATTTATTCGGTGCAGGAGTCGTTTCGAGCATTATTGCCGTCCATACGGTTTTAAGCTTTTTGAAACTAGTATCAACAATATCACTAAAATGGGTTTTAGAAACTGAACAGTTCGAAAGAATAAACAATTTGAACATAAAGTCGCTAGATTTGAAGTTTTTGCTAAACTTAGTAGCATTAAGTAATCCGGCGTATTTGAAGCCATTTTGTGAAATGTACGAAGAAATAAACAGCAACAAAGAAATGAACAGCAGCTACCAGCAACGGCATAGATTGTTAAAAGAAAATTGAATTGGTTTGTTCAGTAGTTGTACACTCATGGGCGATTTGATTTTCGTGACTTCAAATGTGCATTTTAGTAACTTTTCAAACTTTTAACAACTATATCTCAGGGTGACATAATGGTCACTTGCATGCAAGAAGCACATGCGAATAAATAATTTACTCACTCAATTGAATGACATAAACTGTTTTTCGATAAAATTGCAATGCTCTTAGCCAATCAGAATGGAGAAATGTTTTCATATATATTATTAAATCTAAAATATATAGCATAGCAGAGTAACATAGGTCCTTCAATCCATAATAGACTGCGAGCGGTCCCTCCTTTCCGCGGGTCATTAGATTTCCGGGCATGCAAAAGGAAAGGGGGGACTGCAGACAACACGTCAAGAAACAAAATACGCGTTGCCCACACAACGCAAAATTCCCATTGGTCGAAATCGATACGCCTGTCAATCAAATCTGATATGTAGTAATTATGCTATAAATAACTTCCAGAGTGAATGTTGATTTTATACAGGGTGTGTCAAAATAAAGGTAATCGAACTTCAGCGCGCCTATGTATCTGAATTACTGCGTATGAACGAGATTTTTTCATCTTCGGAAAGATCAAGCTTTTAGCTGTTGAATGATATGTTCTTCATGCCAAATGGATAAAAAAATAAGCAAATACGAGTCCGATAAAAAATGCTAGTCAGAATCGCATATTTTCACCGTTGTATTCGGTACTATTAAGTTCAGGGCTCTCAGTTTTAAGGAAATCCTTAAACTGAGGAAATTATCAGTTTTTAAGGAGATTTTTAAGGAAATAGAATTTTTAAGGAATTTCTAAGGAATTTTTAGTTTTTATCTAATATTTGAAAATATTGAAATAATGTTTAAAAAATCAGTCGATGTTGCTGTTATTTATGCAAAAAATACTTTTTAAAAACGCAGGAAATGCAGTCTTATGCATTCAGGATTGCAAAAATTTTCCGAAGGAAGATATTCCTTGACCAACAATGTGAAATTCCTTTTGACGATGCTGCTCAAAATCTCAATTCTCAAATGATACAAAAGTTCTGGGAACCTAACTTTGTAATTCTCACTCATTGAGGCCACGAATTACCAAAACACCATGCCTGTCCCACATTTAAGGAAATTTTACTAAATCTGAGGAAATTTTTGCTGAGAATCTAAGGAATTCCAGGCAATGGGAAATGAGAGCACTGATTAAGTTGATGAATTTCCGTTCAGTAAACTATACGCACCTATTCATAATTATTATTAAGTAGGAATAAATCTTATCTAAGCCACGACAAGTTCGTGTGATTAATTCTGACTAACATTTTTTATCGGACTCGTACTTGCTTATTTTTTCTCCACTTGGGATGAAAAACATGTCATTCAACAGCTAAAAGCCTGATCTTTCCGAATATGACGAGTAATTCAAGTACAATAGCGCGCTGAAGTTCGATTACCTTTTTTATACTGTAAATAAACATGACATTAACGGTTTCTATTGGATAGATTTAATTGAATATAAGTAATGTTTATGCAGAGGCGGAGCCACTTTGACAAGACTCAAGAGCGAAAAGTGGGCGTATTTCGTTTCTTGATGTGTTGTCGGCAGTCCCTCGTTTCTCCGAGGGACTACTCGCGGTCTAATCCATAGACGTTAATATAAAAGAATAGAGTGGGCATCCAGGAAAATTTGAGGGACAAATATACAACGTTACTTGCATGTTAGACTAACTTTTGATTTAGGCAAAAAGAAGTAAATTCCCGTAAAGAACTTTATATTAAAATCAGTAAAATTGCAAAATGTGGTTACGAAATGTTGTAAAATACAGAAAATATAGCCTTGCGGAGTTTGCATATTTTAAGTATGTTTGTATTACGTGCGGAAATTGTTACCATTTTTGAGCCGAAAACAGTAACAGTTTCCGCACGTAGCCTAATATTGCACGTATCATTCCCGGATGCAAAATCGCGATGTTTATATGAAGGGCTGGAAATTACGTAGTAGAAATTACCAAAAGAGTTCAACTTTGAATAGTTTGTTGTCATGAAAAATTTTTTTCCGGAAAATTTTTTTTTGAAAGGGGGCCCCCCAAAACAAATTTGCTCCGGGCCCCCGCCAACCTCTCTGCGGCCCTGCCTGTGAAATGAATATAACTGGAACGCTACCTCCAACCGAAAATTTGAGGCCAAACTTGAAGGCCAGTCCAAGAGCGCATTAAGGCCGTTTGCCATTAACGTTCGCTTTGCCCGCGCGGGCGAAGCGTTCATTGTTTTTGAAGTCCGACACGCCCGCGTGAGCAGAGTTTTCAAAACCCGCTCCGCCCGCGCGGGCAAAGCGACTGCAATGGAAAATTGCCTTTAGGGAGTTTAAGATGCCGACAACGAACAACGGGTAGGGAGTACGGTTAACACTAGCTTGTTTTCGCATTGCTTGAACAGAGGAATACAAATTTGCATATCCCCAGAGCATATACTTTTCACCGTAGCGACCTTGACTACAGCGTAAAAATCACATTCTTGTGTTGTAAGACAGAATCAAGAACACAGCACCGATTCGCATACGAATTGGATAGTATTTTTATAAAGAAATGATGAAAATTAAAAGACGAAACTTACCGAACACAAAGCCATACACATAAAACATATTTGGGATAAATTTGTTATGACAAGCATTTAGTATTTGCATACATATAACAAAATTATTTCAAACGTAGCCGTAGTTCGTCGTCAAGATCTTTTAAACTACCTATTATTACGAAGAGCGCGGTCAATTAATCCGTCAACATGTCATGAATATGTATAAACTACCTATTATTACGAAAAGCGCGGTCAATTAATCCGTCAACATGTCATGAACATGTATTCTTGAATATGTATTCGTCTTAATATTTAACATTTACCAAAACGCTATTTAACAGCCCTGAAAACATTCTATTAATGCATTTATTAAAGTAAAACTTCCTTAATTGTAGACTTTACTTTCAGTTTTTTTCTTATTAAAACCGAAAACGGCATGCTCGCTCTCTGAACTAGTCTTGCGAGAGAATCGCGAGGCTTAAACACGCAGGTCTTGACCATAGGTCTTGACCCCCAGACACAGCTCATATATATCAGGCATTAAAACAGCGTGTCCTTGTACACACTTTGTGTCCTTGTAAAAGGCGAATGTGCCCTTGTAAATTGAAAAGTGTGTACTTGAAAATATATTAAACTGAAAATATATTAATGTAATCCGCGCAAAATGGCCGACGATTTTGCAAATTCTGTTCTCAGAACTCTGGAAATGCCATTTCAGAGACCCCCTTAAAAGATCGCGTCTTCGACGCTAAACTTGTGGCTTCGCCACTCGTTCTCGTGAGTCTGCGCATTTATACCAAAAATACGCCTCTGAAGGCAAAGTGTGTCCTTGTAAAAATTCCGTATTTTAAAGCCTGATATATATATATATAAGACTCGAGCACATGGTATAATTAACAATTATTCAAAAGTGGAGGTGAATAGTGCAAGGATATTCACCAAAACGCTACATCGACACTGAGCTATAGAGGTGAATAATTGTTTTAGCATATACCTGAACAAACAAAAATGGCCAAAAACAACGAAAATACTTTAAATTTAAAACAATTTGTATTTTAGCTCCCGTAATAGTTGTAAACAAAAACACACTTTTTAACACGCTCTTATTAATTTTATTCATGAGAAATATCTTTAAAGAATACCTCTGTCAGTAAATTAAACAGAACTTTGTGGCTTTCTTCGTTTAGTACAAAAAATTGCTCGTTCGTAATTGGAAGGGAAAAAAGCCATTTTGTTCATGTCTGGAGATGAATAGGTAAGGAAATTTAGATCGCATCCGGCAGAGAGAGAGAGAGAGAGAGAGAGAGAGAGAGAGAGAGAGAGAGAGAGAGAGAGAGAGA